ATTCCTGTTACATGTCTTTTTTTTTGTTTTTCAAAATTTTAATGGTGACTATTTTCATGTTCGTATTTTAACTAAGTTTAGTGAATATTAAGATTCAAGTACTGTATGGTAAACATACTCAGAATATTAAAAAAAATCAAAACATTAAACTGCTATTCTGATACTAATCTAAACCATTTAAATAGAGCATTTTTTTTAGTCATTTGGGGAGATGCAAAGAACAACACAGTCTGGTCTCTGCCTCAGGGAACATGAAATCTGTTTGGGCAAAACAGGGCAGAAATAAAGGCTTCAGTCATAGTAGCTTTCAATAACAGCCATTCCACATCAACCCCACCTCCTCCAGGAGGCCCCCTCAGCCTTCCCCTAGCCCAGGAGAAGAGGAGGTAGATGCCCCTGAGTTAGCCTTGCAGCCTGTGCTTCCCTCTCAGGTAGAGCTCCTGGTCTTGTATTACCTAGGCCCATGGGCATTTAAAGTCAGGCCCTTTTCATTGGACACTGAACTGTGTGTGCTTGAACTTACAGCAGGTGCTCCCTAGACTCCCCAGCAGTGGTCTGGGTATAGCTTTCAGAGGCAGATTTAGGTTCTCTGTCTTAGTTCTGTTGATTCCTAGTTGTGCAGCCTGGGCAAGTTACATTACTAAACCTGTTGGTGCCTTAGCTCATTGCTTCTGGCTGCTGTGTAGGCAGTTTTTTAACAGCAGAATGGGGATTGGAGCTATATTTTAAAGGGTGGGCAGAATTTGGATTAGCAGATGACCCTTTGTGTAGCCAGATGGATGATGAGAAGCATTTAAACTATTAAAGCCATCATTAGTGAACTCTAATTCTGACATTTCATATACTTCATGTAGAAAAAAGAGTCCAGGCTTAGAATCTGTGTGACCTTCAGGTGAGTCCTTGATCAACCACTTAAAAGCTGTTAGCCCCTGAACCAATTGCTTTTTCTGAAAGGAGGTGAGGCTTCATTGCAGTGGTGAATCAAAGGTAGTGTGTGTCACACACAGTCCCATCCCACTTCGACCTTTTACATATTCCATATTAAAGGTAAATCATTGATCTCCATCAAATAAATTCATCAGCTATTTTAATAAGCAAGATAGTAAATGATAGTGGCATTCAGTTTTATATGTCAACTTGATGTCGTCATTATACTTAACATTTGTATGTCCTACTGTTTGAATGTTGAACCTAGTTTGTTTTTCTTTTCCCCAGATGGTATATTACTTATGGTCATGAACTCATTTGGAAGAACAGAGAGCCTCTAGTGAAAATTTGGCATGAAATGAGGACTAACGGCCCCAAAAAAGGAGGTGGCTCCAAGTAAAACTGGGGTTGGATGATCCTGGTGCATGTGGCCCATGCTGCCTGGAGAGCCCCAGGAATACGCTGGCCCTGGAGTGACCACATCTTTGCTCCTGCCTGGAAGACACCCAGCATCTAGCTTTCCCAGTATTTTAAACTGTCCTCAGCACATGTCTTACTAGAAAGTGAATTATGACAAAGTTGTGAAATAAAGGTTTATATCTCTAGTTTGTAAACAGAGGGTGTGTGTCCCTTTAGAAGAGTACTCATGGTGCCCTGGAATCTTTGCTGTTAGTTGTTACAGTTGACATAGTTTAAGCCGTGGACTTGGCAGGAGTGCACAGGGAAAGACATGATATTCACAAATGCAGGTGTTTGTGCTTTGGCCTTCTTGCATTTCTGCTTACTCACCTACCCCTTTCTTTGGTTGGTCTACAGGTTTAAAAAAAAAAACAAACGTTAAGAGTATCTCCTGTCTGGCTTGGTCTGAAACAACAGCTGTAGTATTTTCTACATTATCCCAAGAAAGGTAATGTTTTCTGGCAGTGAGTGGCATATACAAAAAGCTATTTTTAGGCTTTGCTTTCTAGGTTAAAATTGTAGCTAAATTAAGAGTTAGAAGGAACTATCACGGATAACCCAGACTTGAATCTGAGCCTGACTGCGTCTTACATTTGAAAACGTACACTCTTGAACTGAAGCATCTTACTGAAATAGACAGTGGTCATTGTAACAGCTTCACTATAGCAGAACTCTTGTTGCCCTCGTGATTGAAAATTACTTCTAAGAAATGCCTTTTGAATTTAAAAGTATTTGTTGAGAAGATTTACAGGAGAGTTTTCAGTCTTCCAGTGGCCTTGAAAGGTAATGCAAGATCTTGCACCTTGCATGGGAGAGGAGCACAGCCATCTGTATTGTATGGTGCTGGGCATGGAGCATTGGGCTGTAGGGAAAGGAGTCGTGCCACCTCACGTGGTGTTGAGAGCTGAATGGCAGTATGTGCCTGCACATAGGAATTGTCCAGGATTGGGCGATTCTTTATATTTTTCCCCCAGATTCTTCTCTAGTATGAAGTGCCGCTTTTTACCAGGCAGAAAGGATTCTATTCTAAACTAATATCACATCCAGGAGAGAGTTTTTTAACCCAACCCTCATTTTGCCAGGAAGGAACCAGGGTGGCTGCATGTGGGAACTGCTCAGGGTCACACTGCTGTGCTTTGACATTTCTGACTACATTATGCTAACAACCCTGTGACATACAGATGAGGCAAGAAGCATTTTTCAGAGTTGGGATGGGAGGCTGAGATCACATGGACATTCCATATGGAGTCCACAGTGACATTTATGTCTTGCTGTGGGAAGGCTAGGAGCACAGGCCATGAAAACCCGTCTCTTCCTGCTTTGTGATGGTTAGGGAAGGAACACTGAGAAGGTCAAGTCCCTTAAATCACTTCTCTGTCCATAACATACCTCAGTGCTGGAGGCTTTGAACAGCCCAAGTGCCATTGTCTCTGTGAATGGCATTGTGAAGGGTCAGAGCCCAGCTCTGGAAGCCCCAGCCTTACTGTCTACAGCTTTGGCGCTGGTCCCTGCTCTTTGCCCACTAGGGTGTTTGCTCACTTTGGCTTCTCTGCTGACATGTGAGCACCCGAAGGCTGTGCTCCACCTGGCTCCTGTGCCTCTCAGGCCGTGCCGCCTCTACTGGTCTGGGAAGTGTGGTGTCCCTAGGGATGCAGCTCTTCTCTCCCTGCACTTCCCCTGGCTTCAGTTTTCTTCATGAGCATGTCTTCTGAGCTCCAGGCCCACAGACCACCTCCGTCCTCAGTACGTGCATCTTCTGCGTGCCAGGTACGGTTTCAGGTGCTGAGACCCCACTGCACAGGCTGGCACCTCAGATATCACTCCTGGCTTTAAGGGGCAGTCTCACCAACTGGAAGCCAGAGACAGAGCCATTCTAGATTTCCTTCCCTCATCTCTTATTTCTAGAATCCAATGCCCCTTCCATTTCCAGTGCCTGTGCCTTAGTTCAGTCCCTTGTCTCTAACCTGAACTGTTGAGACTGTTCTCCAGCTGGTCTCTAAAATTTCCTTGTGTGTCTTCATCTGGCCACATAGTGCTAAAACACTCCCGTCCTTCTCTTGTGTCCCCCGTGAAAAGCTTTAAGTGTGGCTCCTGAGGCTTGCCCGGTCCCATCTCTGCTGCCTTTTGCTGAACCTCCCGACCCCCTACCCTGCATTTCCACCCTGACCCAGGGCCCCTCATTACAGGTGGCGAGGCCAGCCTCCCCACCCTCTTTCCACTTGCCTTAATCCAGTTGTTGTTGCCCTACTACACTTAATCTTCTGGGGGCCCCCAGCATTATTCCAGGCACATAGAAGTGCTCTTGGTTGGTTGATGAATGAAGAAATAGAAGAGCTGCCTTTTTTTTTTTTTTTTTTTTTTTTTTTTTTTTTTTCTTTTTTCTTTTTCCTGCAGGATGGAATACTGTAGTCACCAAATGTCCCCACTGGCTAACCCTGGGCCCTGGAGCACAGAGGTCACACAAAGACAGCTTACCCCACCCAGGGAGAGCAGGTGTGTAACCTCCCAGTGTCTCCAGTGTGCTTCTCTTGGGTTATGGTCTGGTAGGGCAGCTGCCCTGTCACCTGCTGTGACTGGAAGCTTAGAGAGGCGATGGTTTGGGAGAGGAGTCCTGACTGGTCAGGGCTGTACTGCAGTTCTCTTTTCTAAGGTGCAGACTGGATACTGTCCAAGTATATGCTTGAGATGGAGCTGTGGGTAATTCATTCTCTTTCAGTAGCTTAATTAGTCATTGCTCTGCAGTGCACGTTGAGGTCACAGGTCAAATGCTCAGGAAGTCTATTGTGTGGCCAGGGAGTTCCTTCTGATGCCCTGTCATGCTTTAAACAGACTGACCTTTAGCCTGAAGGATTACCCAAACTTTGCAATAAAAAAAGAATGCCCGCAGGAGGGAAGAGAATTTTTAAAGCAAAATGATCAAAGATTTGTCGGCAGCTTTATAATACTAAACCCTCTGTTGCCGTGCTTTAAAATTAGGAATCTTAAAACCCAGGGAAAGGTCAATTGAGGGCTAATGCCAGTTCTCAATGAAAATTGAATTGGTTGTTACAAATTTAGCACCGTAAAGGCAAACAGTGACTCACTGGCCGATTCAAACACGTGTTCTCTGGGAAGCGTGGCCCCACGTCTGCCCTGTGATCCCCGCATCGTGGCACCTCGGTTCTGTGCGCCCGCCCGCAACTCCCCGCGGAGCAGTCGAGCACAAATGCAGGACCGCCACCCTGGCAGGTGCGGACTGCGGTCAGCAAGGCATCGTTGCCACCCAGCCCTCGCTCTCTGCGAAGCCAGGTCCGATTTAGAAGACAGCGTTAAAGGGAACTTGATTAAATTATGAGACCTTCAAGTTGGACGCTGGTAAATTCCTCCAGGCAGTTTCGGTTGCCTCCGCTCTCCCTTAACCCCCTCCCCTTCTCTGCGCCCATCCGGCCGTGCTCTTCCGCGGCTGTAGCCCAGGCCAAGCGCTGTAGCCGAGCCCTCCACCCTCCCCGGACGGCCACCCCCAGGCCAGGGGGCGGCGCTGCGGCGGCGCGGGGAGGGCCGCGGGGGTGGGGACGCCGGGCGGGGGCGGTGCGGCCGGGAGCGCGGGGAGCCGAGCGGCGGGCACCGGGGCCGGCATGGCGTGGCCCTGCATCAGCCGCCTCTGCTGCCTGGCGCGGCGCTGGAACCAGCTGGACCGCTCCGACGTGGCGGTGCCGCTGACCCTGCACAACTACTCGGACCTTGAGAGCGAGGAGCCGGGCCCGGGCGGCGGCGCCTCGCGCAGGGGCCCGTCCCCTGCAGGCGCCCGGGACCCTGGCCGGGACGTGCCACTCACTCAGTACCAGCGGGACTTCGGTGTGTGGACGCCTGCGGGGCCCAGGGATGCGCCGCAGGGGCGGGGGCCCGGTGCGAGCGGCCGCAGGAGCAAGCCCCCCACGGCCCCCAGCCGGGGCGTCTACGTGCTCCCCATCGGCGACGCGGACGCGGCTGCAGCGGTGACCACGTCGTACAGGTATGGGGCTGCAGGCAGGGGAGTGCTTGGAGTCGGGACCCGGCGGTGGGAGGAAACAAGCCCAGAGCCTTGAGGACCACGTTGGGTGGGAGGGAGGAGGCGCCTGGAGCCCCCATCGCACACCACTCCGGGAGGCGGCCTCGGAGGCCATCCCCTTTGGTCCCAGAGCACGGGAGGCGTCGCCTTTGCTGCTCCCTGACCAGCCTGAGTGAATGAGCGAGCATCTCTGCTGACAGGGAGCTCACTACCTCGCTTACAGCCCGCTCTCCTCTCGGGCAGCCCTGTCAGAAATACCTGCCTTCCACTGAGTTAAATCTGCTTTAAGTTCCACCAAGTGGGCCTAACCATAGGCAGGGGGCGTGCAGGCCAACTGCGTGAGCTCCCTCTGGCCAGTGTACTGTGGACTTAGGAGCTCCCAGTAGGTGGTCCCCGGGATCTCATTGAGTGCCCGAGAGCCAGTGACTTGGCCTTCGCTGAGGACAGATCTGTGGGTCCACCCTGCCCCCACCTTAGCTCTGCCCCTGGACAACTGAGGGCTTCCTTTTTTCTTTCTCTTATTACAAAAGTAACATAAACTTACCATAGAAAAATTGGAAATTATAGACATTACAACAAGTTAATACTCCCTTAATCCTACCCAAACTGGTAGTTCTTTCTAATCCTTAACGTTTGTGTATATCCATTTGTAATTCTTCTATGGTTAGATCCTTACTGTACACATTTTTCCATCTATTTTGGGTGTCTGTGCATGTTACTAGATGTTCTTTTACAACGTGAATTTAATCGATGTGCAGTATTTTATCCTAGGGATATACTATCCACGTATTGATATGTCCAGTTATTAATCTGCTGTCGTATCATTGAATATTTGGGATGTTTCTAATTTGGGACCATTAAAAACACTTTCTTTGATCCAGTACTTCGTTTCCAGGAGTTTTCCATACAAGTATCCTTGAAGGTGGGGTGGGAGCTAAGGAGCGTAAGGTATGTTGCAACATTGTACCGCAGAAGATAGAAACGGTCCCACTGCCCTACTGATGTAGGGGCTGGTTAATTATAGCCCAGAGGATGGGCTACTGGGAGGCCTAGAATGTACTGATAGCAGAAGATCTTGGATGGGTATGTGTCAAAAAAACCCACAAAACCCAGAACAGTGTGCTTCTTCTTTGTGTTTTTAAAAAGGGTATTGATATACACTTATCTGCTCAAATAAGCATAGGTTATCTCTGGATGGATATGTGAAAAAACAAGAATCTTTGGAGAGAGGCAGAGTGGGGAGAAGGAAGGGATGTTGCCAGGGGTGGAAGGGCACTGAGTGACTTTTCATTCTCTGAAGAACTGTTTATTTTTAAACATGTACACATACTACCTTTTAAAAAAGTTTTTTAGAGGAAAAAATAACTTCTGTGATAAGCATCCTTATAGCTGTCTTTACTCTTATCAATTTCATTAGTATAAACAATTAAAGGGGCAAAAAGGTATGAACTTTCTCTCTTAGTCTGTTGTTGATTTTGAGAGGGAGACAGAGCGAGTGGTGGAGAGGCAGAGAGGAAGAGAGAGAATCCCAAGCAGGTCCATGCTGTCAGCACAGAGCCTGATGCGCGGCTTGAACCCACAAACTGAGATCATGACCTGAGCTGATACCAAGAGCCCAGGCGCTTAACCGACTGAGCCATCCAGGTGCCCCAGTTTTATTATTTTTAAAATCAAAGATGTTAAGGTAGAATTTCCATACAGTAATTTTCAAGATATGTAGAACATTCTATCTCCCCAGAGGTTCCTTCCTGGGCGTGCAGTTTTTCAGGAACTTAATAGGGGAATGGTAGTTGCAGGATGAGTCTTGAGTTCACTGATGCATGCTCTAGCCAAGCTGCCGAAATTCACAGGGGAATGTCAGGGCAAACACGGAGTCCAGCTCAGGCCCTAGCCAGGCTGTGGATGGTTCTGACTGCTGTGTGCCAGGCCCGGCTGGAGGGGCCTGGATGGTGAGAGGTCTGGAAGGCCAGAGGGCCTGGGTGTGCACCCCTTCAAATGGCTGATGTTCCAGACCTGGAGCAGGACCCGGGGCAGAGCCCGTGGGGAGCTAGCTTCAGCTCAGGGAAAGGAAGAGCTTTCTAATAATTCGCATGGAAGGAGGGTGGTGTGAGCTGCCTCGGGTGTGCTGAGCTCCTCCTCACTGGGAACGTTCAGGCAAAGACTGGGCTTTTAGAAGCGGCCCCTCACTTGTCTTAAGCAGATGGTGGGTTTGGACGTCTTGCTGGGTCTTCCCAGCTCCAGTAACGCCAAAGGTACCAGTCGTTATTCTCTGCTTAGCACGTACCAGGCACCAGGCTCAGGACCTCCTCCCATAGATTATCTCCCCAAGACCTCACCCCCCAGATGTTGCCGCCTCTGAGCCCCTTAGTTTCTTGAGGTGTCCTGCAGTGGTGGAAAGGTATTGCCCAGAGTTGGGACTCACTGGAGCTCTGGTTTCCTGGGGTATAAACTTGGCGGGTCACTTGGTCTCTCTGACCCTTTCCTTGTTTGTAAAACAGAAATAGCCAGAGCTTGGCTCCCTAGGCCCCCATATCCCAACTCTGGCCAAGACCCACGACCACTGCTGAACTTGGTTTCCCCAACACCATGCCAGCTGACCTCTGGGACCCCTCACCTCCCCACTCTAGGGCTTGACGTGTGCAACTCCATCCTGACTCTTCCTCGTAAGATGCATGTTATCTGAGCAAACGGTTTGAAGAAATTCAGTAGGAAAAGTAACAGATCCAGGGAATCCAAAAATACCAGAATATTTGTGGCCACTCACCAGCCCCTGCTGCTCCTGTGAAAGCTGATCTGCCTCACTTGCTTGCCCAGATGGGTGCAGGGAATCTTGCTCTCACAACCAGCCTGGGTCTCTCCTGAGAAGTTCCCAGAGCCTCCCCTCTGGAATTCTCTCGGTGCCATTGGCACCTTTGGCCCAGATTCTAGCTCCACCCACTCTAGAAGATCTCTTTCCTCAGTCATCCTCCTTTATCCTTCCTTGGTGAGTCAAAGGGCCAAACATTGAAGTGCCCAGCACGAAGTTTCATCATAACCTTGTACACGTGGGTCAGTAGCCTTTTTCATGAGGAAACTGAGGATCAGAGGAACGAATGGCTTTGAAGCCCTGTTGGGCTGAGAACTCAGGGCTCTCGGTGTTGCCACAGGTGGCCCCTGACCCTCAGTGGGGTGCCACCGCCAGGGTGGCTGAGGCCCAAACGAGCTGGATGGGAACGGAACCTGGTCAGGGGAGGCGCACGGTGTATGTGGCTGTGTTCTTATTCTTTGCCAGAGCCATTTCTGCCTGCCTTCTCTCCCAGGCAGTCACCCGGTTTCTGAGGTCCCTTCTCCATCCCACTGCAGTCTTTTCTCACTGGTCTCCAGCACCAGCCTTGCCCCAGGAACAGCCATGGGCATCACTCTCACTCCTGGCTCTGGTCACTTTCCATGTTGGGACCCCTGCAGCCACCGTAGGGTGGCAGGCTTAGGCTGCCAGGCCCAAGGCTCAGCTCAGTTTGGGGACAGAAGGGCACGCCCAGGGGAGGACCCGTTTCCGCAGGAGAAACAGAATGGCAGATGGCTCAGGCAGCTGGTCTTTGGAACCTTGCAGCTTCAGAAGCCAAAGTGATGTGATAGGACCCTGGCCCCACTTGCCTCCTGGCACCCCCAAGTGCTGACCGTGGCCAGGCGCAGCTGCTCCCTCCATGAGCGGCCTGCCCAGTGGTGTCCAGCTGTGCTGCTGCCACCAAGGAGAAGAGGCAGCTTTGTTGACTTCTGGGCCTGAAACCCAGCCAGGGCTGTGGGTGGGATGAGACAAGAATGGACCCAGCCCACATGTGGGTGCTGCCCCTGGCCAGCTGGACTCTCTCCTATAGAACATTGCCTTGGCCAGGTGCTCCTATGGACACAGGAGGTCTCTGCCTTCTTGAGCTTTCTAGCAGGGGAGTTGATAGAATTAAAGAGGGCTTTTTTGTGTGCGGAGGAATTGAGGAATTAAAGCTTTATCAAAAAATGCACTCCGGGAACATGGAGCTAATCTGTGCCTGCCTTGTCGCTTCTGTCCCGGGAGCCGCCCCCCCCAACCTCCCCACCACCTTCCTTCCCGTACGCAGGCAGATGTACCCATGTGCACGGTGCCATGCAAGAGCCAGACCGGCTTGTAGTTTTTTGAGTCACCCCTCCAATCTGTCCTGTCTTTGTAGGAGTTAATAAGACAAATTATTAAAACATATGAAACATGATACTCTTGTTTTTCCTTCTCAGTTGGAACCAGGTATGGAAGACTTTTGCTGTGCTGGGTGCTGTCTAGGCTGGCATCCTGTGGATGTAAGGGCCACCAATGAGCTGGGGACCGACCATCATAGGTTCTGGGTGGCTTGGAGACAAAACAGGAAGCACTGAAGGAAGAAGGGCTGGGATGTGGTTTCTGATGCCCAGCACCTACTAGGTGCTTGCGTCTGGATCCAAAGCAGGATTTTAGCAGTGGAGGTTAGCCAGGGCATTCCAGGAAGCACGGGACAATGGCAGTGGCCTCTGAAGAGTCAGGAGGGATGACTGACATTGTGCAAGGGGGGGTCCGTGTTCTCTGTTGCAGACAGGAATTCCAGGCTTGGACTGGAGTGAAGCCATCGAGATCCACAAAGGCAAAACCCACCACGGTCCTCACAACCCACAGCTCCGGCTGGGACGGCAGCCCTGGGGTCAGCTTCCAGGTCAGGCTAAACTGGTGCTGTGGGGCAAGGGGCTGGGCTCCTGGCTGCACCGGGTGTGAGAACAGAGGCCTTTTCCCCAGGGTAGGGACTGAGTCAGATTGGATGGTGCAAAATGTCATTATAGCCACGGACAGCACTGAGCACCCAGTCATCCCCCAACAGAGAACCAAGATGGTCCTTTGTTGCCAGCCAGGTGGGCATCTCCCTAGTGCTGGCTTGAGTGTCCCCTCCCCTCCTAAATCCATGTTACCCATTACCAGTGAGGACTAGCGATGAGCCTTCCAAGTCCCTAGCGTTTGTGTGAGAGGAGATGGGAGGGAGGTGATTCAGGCCTCAGCAGAATGGAAAGTCCTTGCCCCCTGCATATGTTTCCCCTTGGACCCTTTAGGTCAGCAGTCTCAACTCTTGGAGGACAGGAGGAGGGAATTTTCTTCCTGGAACTGGGGGAAGAGGGAAAGTTGATGGAAAGGCACACTGATATGGGGCCACATTTCATTTTTCAGGCTACTGCGGGGAGGAAGAAGTTCACCCCTAACCCGTCAGCCATCTTTCATGCTCCTGCTCCCCGGATCCTCAACGTGTGACTGCCACCAAGGAAGAGTGCCATAGTGGAGTCGGAACACAGTGCTGCTGAGATGGGGAATGGGGTGAGATCTTGGGACTGGTCCCCTGCTGTCCCAGGGGAAAGGCCTGTCTTTTGCTGCGGGCACCACTCTCCCCCACTGCCACCCGGACTGCAGGCCTGGTGCAGAGCAGAGGCGCAGATGGACATGGCCCCACACAGCTGGGCTCTGGGCCTCAACCATCCTCTTGTTCCTCAAGGCGAGTATAGAAGGCTTCAGATATTTTTTAAATTGCCTCTTTTGGCCACCCTTCCGTTTTTAAATCTGAAGAACTTAAGGATCAATTCTGCTGTGAACTGAATTGGTCCACGGGGGCTGAGGACTAGGGACAGAACAGTTGCTCAAAAGAAACCAGTAAGGTCCACCTTCTTGTTTTCCCAGGCTGCATGGTAACTTTGTAACCTATGGCCACCCACAGTACTGTCCTTGGATATTCCTACAAATGGCCCCACCATTCAGGTTGTAGAAGAAATCTTAGGTAATCACCTGCATGTGACTCATGATGCTGAGTAACCAGGATGACATTTCCAAAAGGTACAGAGTATCAGTTATATGGTTTCAATTTCAAAGACATATTTTAGGGCCAAGATGACCCTTACATTTTAACAAAAGGTTTCTTGTGCTGAGTGCTTTAAGTACTGAGTGAATGACATTTACCTTGGGGCTTCTGAGCCCCATAGTTTATTACTAATTCCAGTTTTTTTCCCTTAACAGTGGACTAGAAGGGAACATGGTACACACCTGCTAAGCATTGGGAGCTTTTTGGGGTAAGAAGTGTCATTAGCCTTACTCCCTGAGAGACTGCGAGTGTCATCTCTACCAGCCCCTGGACTCCCACCGTGCTCTCTCAGTCACAGGGAGCTGTGAGGAAGCAGCTGTCGTCTTTGGAAAGCTGCCTCCTTTCCCAGGAAGTCCCAGCCCATGTGGCCACAGGGAGCCAGCCTGGCCCGGGTTTGCACAGCAGGTGGTCAAACCTTCGAAGGAGTTTCTGCCCCTTCTTATAGATTAGGGTGCACAAGGTAATGGCAGTTTTGGGTAAAGGAAACTCAAGGATTTCCCTTTGGATCTTTATCCCGCTCCAGCCCCAAGGGGCTCTGGCGAACATTTACTTAAGCAGCCCGCAGTGGCACTCAGGTTTCACAGCCCCTGAGAGCTGGAGGGAACCTGGTCCCTCAGAGGGGCTAGCTCTGGCTGGCACAGCCTTCCCTCAGTCCTGCAAAGGAGATGCTCTGAATCATTTTAAAGCCAGAACCCAAATCATATGCTTACACAAAGAGTTCCATTATTTCAGACTTCATTGGTTTGCATGTTAAAGGTTTCTGAGGGAAGAGACTGCCTGCTGCTGTGCATTCTGTGGGAAATGAACAGATTAACCGTACAATCTGATTTTACTAAAATGCGAAAATGCACTGTTACGGTTTGTTATTTCCTTAATTATAAACATGGAGCACCTTCTCATATGTCTTTATCCTCCTCTTGGTAATAAGGACTTTATCAACTACTGCTGGTTGACCCTTGGAGGCTTGCAAATCTTAGGGACTCCCCCTTGGGACTGCCCTCCACACTGGCGTTGGATGCAGTACCTCACGGAGATCACCACCCTCCCCGCAGCCGAGCCTTGGTGCGGTACCTCAGCGGGGTAACAGGGGCCTGCCTCTGGAAAGCATAGTGCGTGCCCAAGGAACCTTTCTGGAACGTACCAGGACAGCTTTTCACAAAACCCCCAATCCAATCATCGTCCTCACCATACTTCATTAGTAGATCTGGGTTCTGAAGAAGGAACTTCCTCCACCCATGCTAGGTCTCAGTAAAGCCTGCCCTCATGTTACTGGAGTGGCCTTCCAAAGCACCTGAGACCGTAGTCTCACCTGTGTGGTGTCAACCCCTAACATGTCCTACACATCTATATAAACTAGATAAAGATAGAAAAATACATTGGAATACTAATGGTGGTTATCTTCGGGAAGGGGAATTATGGGTAACAAATTTTTTACACCTTGCTATATTTGCTAAAGTTTCTACATAAGCATTTTTGTATTAATTCTGTAAAGAGCAATGTTTTTAAAAATAAAAAGTTCAATCTGTTAGCTAATTTCAGCCAAAAGAGTTCAGAATCAATGATTCCATAACCAATGTTAGCACTGCCGGCAGCCGCCTTGATCGGCCTTGAGGATGCACCGTGAGGCCCAGCCAGAGGGAGGCCACTCCAAAGTCCTCACCTGCATTTCGATCCAGGTCTGGCCTCTGTTCCATGGTGCTTCAAAACTCAGAAAAACCATCGCAAATGGGAATACTCTCACACCTGTACTAACACCAGGATTTTAGGCCAAACTCCAAAAAGCAGCTTTTGAGAAAACCTTGACCCTGCAGCCCACCCTGAGGAAGATGGGGGAACCTCGCCTTTGACTGGGATCAGCTCTGCCAGCCCTGTGCACACAGGCTTAAGTAAGAGGGAGTCTCCAACTGAGGTGGAGTGCCTGTGACACAAATCCCTGTCCCATGGCTCCGGTCAAAACTGTGGCTGAGGCACACACTTGGGACAGGAGCCTAAGCACTGCCCCTCTTCTCCTTCCTCCAGACACTTCACTTCCCTAGAGGCTGACAGTAAGTGAAGTCTGGTCCCAAGAAAGCCACGTACCTGGACTCCCATCACGTCCTTCCCTTCCGAACTTCTTGCCTTTGAAGAACCAAAGCTTTCAAAGCCCTTAGTTCTTACTAAGGGTGAATGTAAAAAGTGGTCAGTTCTGAAATATTTCTGCATCTTTGGTAATTTTTTTAGACATTCTGATAGCAGATGGTCACAGCAGGACTGTGTCACAGGAGTAACTTCTTCCAGACCTCAGCATAGACCAATTCTATCTTTCCGGAAAATCCAGTGTGCTGCTTTGTTAGACAATAGGAGCTGTTTTCCCTCTTGGCCTTGGCTTTAAGGAGGCTCTGAGCTCAATTAGGTAGTTTTCCTGTGCCCCAAAGCTGTCAGAAATAATTACTTCCACAGTCAACATGCATCTTCCAATTTTTTTTTTCAGATTTTTATGTAACTGTAATCCTTTATCTTGAAGAGCTGTAAATTCTTTTTGAAAGGAAGTGGAAATAATGTAAACCCACAAATACCTATACCTCTGCCCCATTGCAGCTCTGACTTAATGTAAGAACCCTACCAAGTGTAGTGTTCAAACTCCGAAGAACCCATCACAAATATTAAAAGATTTATTGCAGACTTCTGTTACACAATTATGTTACATGTTATGATACACATTTGAAACATCAACACATATGGGAACTATTAAATCATTTAATATTTCATTTGCAAAAAGATAATTACTTTAGGCTTCCATACATGTACTAAATGAACCTGTTGCCATTTGGACCAAATCTTCCTGTAAATCTGTCACAGTCCACTGCTGAATAACTCTGTGCACTTGCTCACTCACCTTGCTTGCAGCAGTTCATGTATAGAGTACCTGAGCCTTTATGTACTCAATTTTTTTTTTTTTTTTACTAAGCCTGGGCCTCCCGCTGCCTTACCAAATAGATTTCCTTCTGCATCTGCAATCCTCAGATGTTGAATAAAGAAGTGCAGGTTTCTCAGTCACTACCCTGTCTTCCGTTCCTGACCCAAACGCCTACAGAACTCATGAAAATGTGAATTATGTTGGTTGGATAAGTTTGACTCACAGGTTTCAAACTTCCTCCAAGCAGATTCCCAGTAACAGAATAAATTCTTTCCTTTCCTTCGACACAGACTATGTTAGGAAGATTAGGACAGAGTATCTTTAATGGAACTGGACGTCACGCGGGGCACTGCAAACCTCCCTTCTTCTATTCACCTCTGCCACCGAGAGGGCTCCACATATGGATACAACGTATTCTCACTGCTTCTGAGCACTGACATTCCTGCCTCTTGGCTTCGGCAGTTATTTCTCTTTAAGGCACTCAGTGTTTCCTTGAAAAGCTTTTCTTCTTTGAAAAGACTGAATGGAAAAGAACAGGACACTAAATCCACTGACAGGACTTACGGTCCAAGCAGGCCTGCCCCAGAGGCTGCCCCCCACCAGGCACTCAACATGGGCTCAGTGGCAGGTGCTCCCGCATACCACTCTCCGCCCCGCACGCATGCTCGCAAAGCTGGTACAAGTCTGCCAGGTACCTGGAGTTTGTGGGTGTTCTCGATTACTAACATATTTTAAAAGCTTCCCGACTATAGCAAACCTCTCCCTGACTATGCTGGGATCTGTCTATCCCTGGACAGTTCTCTGAGCCTGGCTGTAGTAATGTTCCTGTGCTCCACAAAGACTTCTGCTCAGCGTGCAGGCTCCCAGACTATCTTATTTTCCACAAGGCATTACTGCTTCCTATAGCTGACTGGGTCCTCTGCACCACGGCCACCGAGTGCCGAAGCCCAGTCTGTCTCCAGAGGTTACCAGGTAACTGCTGGAACTGCCTGTAACCTCAGAATGGGTGAAAACCTCTGGTGCCAGTCTTATTCTCTGCCTACACTCAAGCCGAAGGTGCCCCTTGACGCCCAGAGGAGAGAAGGACCTGCTACACATGGCCTGGCCCAGCTCTGAGATTCTCTTTACAGAGAGTGAGCAAATGCCAGCTGACAGAGCACACATCCACTCACAGCTTCATTCTAGAATCAGGAAACAAGGTTCTGTCCTGAAGGGATTTGACCTGGGACTGAACTCTCTGGTGTTACAGAGAATTAGGTGGAGACAATGGTTTGGTAGCCATAATATTCTGAGGCACACAGAAAATAACCTCCTTCCCCAAAGAGGAGACATCACAGTTCAAAGCTTCGGCTACATCTTCAAATCCTGCTTTTCCGAGGGCATCTTCATTGATCTTCATTCAATATCCCCATGTGTTTATTTGTGAGGAAGTCCAGAAAAGGAATGTTGCAAATGGCCTGGTGGATGTTGCTCACTGTGATTTCTTTGGGAATCCTGTCGAAAAAACAAAGGATATTAGGTGCAATTTTCTCATTTAATAATTGAATTAATCCATTTATCAAGCAGACCACCCCGCACACAGGCCCTACTGGAAGGGGACAATGATGACACCCGGTTTAGGGCCGCATGGGGTGCAGAGAGGCCAGGTGCGTCCTCTCACTCGTTCTCCTTCCCTATTCATTTCTTTCACTTCGGCCAAGACTGGTTTGCCCTCTTCACTGCCAGCCCTCTTTAGGGCTCAAATCTGACTTCCCAGTCACAGGTATGAGATGGATTTCAAGAACTTGGTTGAGTGGGGAAAAAAGACTCTGAGGACTGAGGAAACAGGAAGTAAAGTGGACAGCACAACAGAATGTTTTTGTAATTCAATCTTAGACTAAAAGCTGAGTCAAAGGACCACAGTACCGTGGGCCCCTGTTTCTGTCTTGGGAAGATGGGAGGTGGAGTCCTGCCAGGCCAGTGTAATGTTAAATGTTCTCATCAAGAGCGCCCAGGCTACCCTGTATCTGCACAGCCAGGACCACGGCAGTGAGCGGGGGCCGCAGAAGGCCCCCAGCCCACTCTTGGATCTCATGCCGGGAAGGGAGCATTCCAGGAACTCCCATTTCCCCTTCCTTCTTTTTAAAGATGTCTTCCATGCTGCCCAATGTATTACATTCTTGTGATGTCTGACCTAACGGTCCTCTGATCTAGGCCTCTTCATGTCCTCAGACACTCATACATCTGTAAATTTTACAAATTTATGACACGCGTTAAGCATATATACTGGGATAAAATACTCGCTTCCTTTGAAAGGAATGCCAGGATGTGGAACAAAGAAAAGCCTGTCTGCCATTCTTCAGGGCCTAGGAAAAGGCAAAACTCCGTGTCCTGATCAGTGATAATTAGGGAGGCAGCAAAGCAGTGGTGAGCCTGTGGGCTTTAGAGCCAGTGAGGTCTGAGGTGAATGTAGGTTCTCTATCACACATGTGCAGGGAAAGGCAGGGAACACTAACTTTCAAAGCCCAGATTCCTGACTTCTAAAAACAGGGTTACAGTTCTCCAATGGAAAATAAATCAGGTAACATATGCAATGTGTGACTCCAACATCTGACACATAACAGACAGTATTATTATCTTTAATTGCAAAGAGTTGGTATTTGTTCAACCCTGTAGTGTTGGAACAGTGTGTCTGAAGTAGTGACTGGAAAGATACAGACCTTGGGGAAACAGTGAGCTTTCACAATGAGAGAGTCTCTCAAAATGACCAAGCAGACCCCTGAGCCTGTCTGCCTCTGAGAATGTCCCAAGCACGGCCACCTCCATCTCCAACTGGATTGATTTCAGGAAGTATAAAACCTTTGGATGGGCAACTCAACTGTCAGGAAAGATCTGTAAACCTAGTACCACGGACTAAAGAGGTAGGAGTACCTGTTGTGAGATGCTGTCTGGTATCCAACTGCCAAAGCCTGTCTCAGGATGTCGTTCACCAGCTGCTCTGTGGCCTATGACAGAAGATGTGATTACTCTCAGAAACGGCCACCTGCCTGCTGGTAAGAAGGGACACATCTGACCCCGTCCCATACACAAAACTTGGAAAACAACTGTATCTCAGGATCAAAAGTCCTTAAGAAAAAACTCAACGTTCAAGTAACAGACCACGAATATTAGCTCACAAAAATAGAGCCCATGATTCTGAGAAATTTTGAATGGGGATAACGTTCATTAATCAGACACTGTTTTTTAAGGAAAAAACAGGTGAGGGTTATTTGTGAGTGATATCTGCTGCGAGAGGGGTCCATCAGGAAAGGAGCTGCTTCCGGCCAGGTAAGGAAGCAATTTTGTCATCCTCTTGCCCAGGGAGGGCACGGCTGTGGTTATTTCTCTGTTGCTGTGACATGTAGAGAAAACCCAAGGCTTTGCTTTGAGAGCATGCTCACCTCAGAACGCTTCAAAAGGCACTAAGAAGTATCATTAGAGTGACACCAGCGCAAAAACTCTTGGAGATGCTTTAACACTCAGAAGACCCATGATTTAGTTCATTTAAAAATCAGAAGGAGGAAAAGAAGAGGAAATGTTAAGCCTGAATAAGATGAAATAACACATCTCCGATGTTCCATTTCTGCCTCTGTCCCTTATTCAAAACAGCGTGGGACCCAGACTATCCTGCCTGGCTGGCACCTCAGTGCTTCAGCCCCTGGAGGCAGCTCATGGGCCCTCTGCTACCAGCAGGCACCCACCTTTAAAATCATGTCCTCTACCACAGACGCATACACGTTCTTGTGAAGTGCCACGGGCTGCAGGGTGATCCCAATCTGGAAAAGGAGAAGAAAGCCATTTGTTCCTCCTCCTACCCTACAAACAACCTCTCTCCAAACAAGCACACTTCTTGGATACCCAAAGGGATGTCCAGTTGAAAGAATAACTCTCAAGCAATCTGGACAAAACTCAGGGGAAGTAACACAAAATGTAACAACTGGAAGAATACGCTATCCTATTTCTCTTTGTTTCTGAGTGGTTGTTAAAAAATACTATTATAATCCTGCTTTTACCCCCAAATCTCCTTCATGAAGATCATGGTCAGAATTGCCACGAATTCTGATAGTAGGATTAAGACACTGGAAAGCCTGGAATCAGACTTCAGGCCCTGTTTGCGAAAGGTGATGAACATATACCTGGAAACTGAGTCTTGTCCCATCTGGCATTTTCTCCTGTAAAGGAAGACTCTTCCCCTCTGGGTCCCAAGTACAGGTGACAGATGCTGAAGAGCAGCTGAGTTCCACCAGAGGAGGAGAGAGCACTCTCTCCAGTACCGCAGGGTAGTGTGTGTGCCACACCCACACCACAGGCAGGGCACGTGGGGGCTGTAAGATGTTAGGGCGAGCTGACCCTCTCAAGTACCACTTGGCAATATTACCGCGTGCCTCAGGAGGGAGAGGGCTTCTATACCGAGGCGAATGAGAGCAAAGATGAAAGGAGAAAGTGTCTACACCTAGCTGCCTCTGCTTTAGTTCCACGGCCAGCAAGCAACCTTTCCACATGTAATTAGTTTTCCTGCCCTGATGTAGCAAAGGGGACACCCAGAGAGCATAACCCAAGTCCGTCAGGCAGAAGTGACTCACACATTTCAGACAGGAAAGTCTGGTTGTCGGTTTATAAAGCTGAGGGTCTGAGCATGAAGCACCTGGTTTGTGACCAAAAAACACAACAGGCCACAGCCCCTACCTTCTGTGTGATGTCACCAATAAATTCAGACCCCAGTGTGGGTGGCAGGTACAACTTCATTTCTTCCTGCTTCTCTTCCTGTTCTTTTTTGACGTTGATCTTTAATGGCTCTGGGAGGCTGAGGATATCCACCTCCTCTTCATTCTCTGGCTCTCTTTTCTGGAACTGCTGTAGGTCCTCCAGTTTCCGGCAGAGGCTGTCCGCAGAGGAGAATGATGATGGGCACTCTAAATGAGAGGTACTTAGTCTCAGGGCAGTTGTGGTGGCAAAAGAAAAGGACTTTCCATCTCTGTAAGACCAACAGTCTGAGACCCGGAGAAGAAGGGATAAGTATCAGGGGAGCTGACCTTCTCTCCAGTTCTAGAATTCTATGGATCTGTAACTGTGAGAACTGGTGATTCATGAGACAGACAAGCACAGAGACCGGCATCTTGTGTTAATGTATATGTGATGTGACTGCAATCTAAGACAAAGCAGACACTACACAATTCTGACTTACGCCACCCAAAACTAGGCCATCCCCTCAAGCCCCAAATGCTAATGAGTAACTGATTTTCATATTTTAAATCTGGAAAACTTAAAAGTGCACAGTGAAGAAAATAAAAATCACCCACATGAGCACCTCTCACTGCTCAGAGGTTAAGTACTGTTAACATTTTCATTTTTAATAAGTCGATTTACACAAAGTCTAACAAAGAGTCTTAGAACTTGAAAGCCAGAAGAGGAGGACCTGGGAATCTTACAACGCATGCCTTTCACTTCAGGATAAGGAAGTGAGGTCCAGACCAGGCACAAGACGGGCTTAGGGGTGCCTAGCAGGGTGGTGGCAGGGCACCAGCTCCTGGCTTATTCTGCTTCACTGACTGGGTACTTACAAATTAATCGGCCATATTAACAGAAAGCATTGTATATGTAAAGTATGGTGCTTCATGTATGCCACCAATGAGGTATGGAGATAATCAGTATGGTTTCTGTCCTCCAAAGAACTTAGATATTTCTTTCTGACAAACTGTGAAGGTTTGATACTAAATGCTGCTGGATTTCAGAGGAAGGAGAGGTTGTCCTGCATGAGGGCTCTCTGGAAAGCTTCAGGGAGAACACTGAACTTGTGTCTCAAAGGTCTCCCACACTGTCCCTGGACCCCAGGCTCCCTCAGACTGGGAGGTGGCGCTTCTGCTTTTCTACATAAGTAGTGTAGGGCTGGGAGGAGAAAACAACCTTTCTTATTAAGGTGAAACTCAAAATATCTTTTATGCCCTGCTCCCACCCCATACAGCACAACTCTTGGTTTCTTTACCATAAAACAATTCATCCTGTCTGCAACATTATTAGTTGTTTCCAGCTGAGCCTCCAATGCCGGGTGCTGCACTTCCTAGCTAGGTCTGGAAATAAAGTAATGGATAAGGCAGCAACTCCATCTTCAAGGAGATTGGGTAGACTTGTCTACGAGTGGTTGCAAGGTTACAAAGGAAGGAGAAGTCAGTTCTATCTGGAGGAAAGGAGGTGGGTTAGGAAAGTCTTCAAAGAAGAAATGATCTAACTGTGTGCCTGCTGTATGTCACAGGCTGGAACATTCCTGGCTGGGGCAGGGGAGGACAGGACACACAGCTACAGGTGAGCAAATGCTCATGTTCTTTAAGGTGGCTCTTCAAGTCCTCTGGGGTTAAAGTGGTCCAAGAACCGTGGAGGGTGAAGGGATGAGAGCGTGTTCCACGGAAACACCTCTCGGGCTACTGATGGTGCCCAGTGAGCCCCACCGAAGGTGTACCTGGCTCACTGTCGATTTGGGTCAGCACATCCTCAATAGAGTCCCCGTCGCTCCTCAGTGTCTCAGGATCAGGTGGGGTGTAGCCATGGCAGCGACACCAGTGAGCAATGTGCTTGGTTTTAAGGGGAGTCAGGTGGTGAAATCTTGGATTCTTCTCCAGTATTTCTTGTAAGACTTTTCGCATTGTCATTGCTCTTTGCCACTTAAAAAAATATTTTTTTGAACCATAATTAATTTCAACTTAGCAATGTGTTAAAATAAATCATCCAACTGTAAATTACCATGCTAACTTGTCAGAATTATTTTTTTTTAAACCTGATTGTGCTTTTTAAAAGTTAAAAAATTTTTTTTCTTTAAATGTTTATTTTGAGAGACAGAGCGTGAGCAGGGGAGGGGCAGAGAGAGAGGGAGACACAGAATCCGAAGCAGGCTCCAGGCTATGGGCTGTCAGCACAGAGCCCGATTCGGGGCTCAAACCCACAAGTGAGATCATGACCTGAGCCAAAGCTGGACACTCAACTGACTGAGC